TCAAGGGAAAATGCTAAGCATTTTACATGCATTATCTCACTTAATCTTCTCAATAACCCTATGAAGTGATTACTCCTATCACCTCCACCTGGCCAACACCAACACCAAACCCTTTCTCATAACATCAGTGCACCTTGGAATGGCAAACAACTATACCTGATATTTCACTGGGAATTCTGTCATCCACTGAAGCGTTCGCTGTTTTAAAGTTTGTCCATCAGATGTGACACGTCACATAACTCGAGTGTGTTACTTAATGATAAGCCGATAATGGTAAAACACACCAAAATGGAGGCCAAAGGCACACTAAACCACCAGCATCTATCCATCCCAAGAGGATACAACAGACATGTTCTAGAAAGTAAACCTCCAATGAAACTTAAAATTACAGAATTTTAGAGTGGGAGGCATCTTGAAGGTTAGGTTATGTAATACTACACATCCTAATTTTTCAGAAGTGAAAATTGAGACTGAGAGGCAGCAACTTGGCCAATGTCCCCCAAAGAGTTAGTGACAAGCTATAAACTCACTCCTGACTCATGTCCTATACTCTTTCCACTACCCTGGGCACTGCCTGGTCTACTATGACCCCAAAATTTTATCTAAGGCTCTCATTTCTACCTCTTAACCACATCTTTATAAATAAGGCACACAGTTTGACTGATCTACAGTTTCACTTGCCCTTTAATCCATTCACTCCCCAGAAATGCTAAGAAACAGCTGCCATTAAGAAGATCTAGGAGGCAGCAGGAAGAAGCCTCAGGCAAAACAGGCAGCTCCCAGCAAGTTTTGTGGGGTGTCTCGGCCAGCTTATCTCAGACCTGTCCTTGTTAACTTCAGCAGGGAACAGATAAGGAGGACTAAAGGGGGGGGGGACAATGCCTGCACTCTAGAGGACTACCTCCTCCTTGCCAGGAGTCGCTCCAGGATCCTTGGGAGAAGGAAGCAGGATGCAGAAGAGCCACACCAACAAATTAATACCTGGGCAAGCTACTTACTCTTTCTTTCTATTTACTTTACTCATAAAAAAAGGAGTAATATTAATACCTTACACCTCCTATGGTAACTGGAAGCATTCAATGGGATAATATTTACAAGAACAGAGCCTGGAACAGTGTACCTCCCACTACACCCTAGGTGTGTGATGGGTCTCCTTCCTAGATTAAAAATAAAACTAAGTAAATAAAATAAAACAACTCTGCAGTCACACTGGTCATATTATCAGTGTTCAACAGCCACATGTGGTTAGTATGCTGGACAGCACACACAGAACATTTTCATCACCACAGAAAATTCTATTGCACAGAGCTATCCCAGAATCTTCCTCTCCCTCATCAAGTCCAGACTTCAACAAACAGAAATCCTACAGAATTTTCTTCCTAAACTGCTCTCTAATCCACAGCCTCTGCCACAGCCTCAAAGCTCTCACTTGTCTGACACTGAAAGCCATCTGCTTCTAGTTCCAGCCCTCTAGTCCCACACTCTGCAGAGGGACATTTCTGACTCATGTGAACTTGTCTCTTCAACAGCTTTCCATTATTGTGAAGTATATATTTAGTCTCCAACCCCCTTCCTCCAGTCACACAACTCCTAAAATCCTGGGAATCTCCAAAGTGAAATCTTTTTGTTTGCTAATGTGTTTACAGCCCCTAGGCAGCTTCAGGATGGGGACTGGTCACCAGAAAGACCCAGGCAGGATTAGAAGGCTGGGACTTTCAGTCCCACCCTGTGGGGAGGGCAGGGATATTAAGTCTAAATTGATCACTAAGGGCCAGTGCTTTAACCAATCATGCCTGTGTAATGAAGTCTCCATAAAAGAACCAGGAGGACAGGGTTCGGAGAGCTTCCAGATAGCTGAACATCAGGAGGTTCCTGGAGGGTGACCTGCCGGGGCAGGGCAAGGAAGCTCCTCGCCCCTTCCTTCCGCTTCGCCTGCCCTAGGCATCTCTTCCTCAGTATCATCTATAATACCCTTTATGATAAAACCATACACATTTCCCTGAGTTCCGTGAACTGCTCTAGCAAATTAATCAAACCTGAGGAGGGGGGCTGTGGGAACCCTAACTTATAGCCGGTCTGTCAGAAATTGAGGAGGTCTGGACTCGTGACTGGTGTCTGAAGGGGGAGCAGTCTTGGAGACTGAGCCCTCAACTTGTGGGATCTGACACTATCTCCAGATAGTGTCCAAAGTGAATTGCAGGACACCCAGTTGGTGTCCAGCACAGAACTGTTTGCTTGCTGGTGGGGAGAAACCCCTCCAGCTTTGGTCACAGAAGTCTACAGATTATTGCTGCTGAGAGAGGACAGGAAAAAAGCACAGGGAGCGTTGTTTTCACACTCACACATTCCTTTAGGCCCCCAGCCCAGCCCAATCTTCGCCCCTCTCGGAGACTCAGCCAGTCCTCGACCTGCCCCGCTATGCTCCGTGTGCATCTCCCACGTGGACATTAGACACACGACCACCCTGATGAAGCTCTCACAGGGGTGGAGAACCTGCGACCTTGGGGACACATGTGGCCATCTGGATCCTCGAGTTCGGCCTTTTGACTAAATCCAAATTTTACAGAACAAATCCCTTTATTAAAAGGATTAAAAGGGCCGGGTGCGGTGGCTCACGTCTGTAATCCTAGCACTCTGGGAGGCTGAGGCGGGCAGATCGCTCGAGGTCAGGAGTTCGAAACCAGCCTGAGCAAAGCGAGACCCGTCTCTACTATAAATAGAGAGAAATTAATTGGCCAACTAATATACACAGGAAAAATGAGCCGGGCATGGTGGCGCATGCCTATAGTCCCAGCTACTTGGGAGGCTGAGGCAGTAGAATCGCTTGAGCCCGGGAGTTAGGATCACTTGAACCCAGGAGTTTGAGGTTGCTGTGAGCTAGGCTGACGCCAAGGCACTCACTCTAGCCTGGGCAACAAAGCAAGACGCTGTTTCAAAAAAAAAAGGATTAAAAGGATCTGTTCTGTGAAGTTTGGATTTGGTCCAGGGGCCCCACTTGGGGATGTGGAGGGCCACATGTCGCATTGAGGCCACAAGTTCCACACCTCTGCCAAAGGCTGACACATGCCCTATGGCAAACGGACAAAACCTCACCAAAAAGTACCCATGTCAATCCCCAGGCTCAGATAGGAAAGTGCCTGTGCCTGGGCCTGCAGAAGCTTAGCCATGCCCCAGGAGGCCTCGGTCCCCACTGCCATCACCTTGGTCCAGGTCACCCTCATCCCTCACAGGGTCTCACTTCCTCCAAACAAGTCTCCCCACCACAGCCAGACTGTTCAAAAGTACACGCACAAACTGCCTCTCCTCTCCTCCTCAAGCCCCTCGATGTCCTCCCAGTCCCTTAGGGTGCCAAATCCTCCACCTGGCTGCCGAAGCTGGCTTGCTCCAGTCCCGACTCTGCTGCGGGGCCCTCTTTCTTGCCACTCCCCAAAGCCTGCACTATGCAAAACTCCCAGGTCCTTCCATTCTGGTCTCTACCTGGAACACTTCCTCACTCCTCCCTGCTGACCAACTCCTACCTTCCTCCAGGGCACTGGACATTTCTCAGGGCAAGGCAGTAGTTATTTGAGAAAGGGCCAAGGGCATGCACAGTAAACCTCAGGGAGCAAAGTTGAGTTCTCTTCGCAAAGCGAAGAGACTCCCTTCGGCACCACCCGTGGAACGTTTTTCACCAAGGGAGACAAAACATCTCCAGCCATCCCCTGGACGAAGCACTGCTCCAGCCACAAGTCTCGGATTCCAGAACTGGTGTGCTTTGGCACACCTCCCTGCCTTTTCACGTGCTGTCTGTCCCCTTTGCCTGGAATGACCCTGGCAAACTTCTCAACTTCAACCTTCAAGAATCAGCTACCTGTTATCTATCACCTCCTCCATCCTCTGCCCAAGAAGCCCTCCTTAACATTTACCCCTTCCCAAGAATCCCACCTGGTCTCGGCCAGGTAAAAATGACTACTTGTCTAATTGATCCTTCTCACTAGGCCCTGACAGCAGTCTCTTTCTCCAGGGCCAATCCTGGAACCTATCAGGCATTCAAAAAAATGTCAGTCCCATGAACGAAAACATTACGGCCCAGAGACAACCTGAAAGCATCCTGATGTGCCCTAACCGCTCACTCCTTCCTTCTGTCTCACTCCACCACATGAGATCACCTGTCCTCTAGACCGTCCAGAGAGGCCACGAGTCTCACCAGAGCATTAAAACTTAAACACTGTCCCTGCTTTGGCCTCAATGCACTAGTAAGCACAAAGGCGCACACATGCACTGAGATCACACCCCGCGTTTGGTTATAAAGTGGTCCTCAAGGTATCTGTTACATGCATCTGCCTCTTTCAAATTATCCTTAGAATTCACAAACCCTGGAAATACTTTCACGGATGCCCCACAGGTCCCAGACGCGAGCTTGAGAAACTCAGCCCTGAGATCACTGCAGAGAGGCAGCCAAAGGGTCTGAGCTCCTCAGGGTGGGTGGCAGAGGCAGAAGGGGAGGCTGAGACTGGTGGGATGGGGGCCCCAGGGTTCTCGGTGGGGCTAGGGACATATGGACCGAGGGCTTTAGGGACATATGGACCGAGGGCTTCCAGCCAGGAAAGGTGGGGAGGCCTCGGGACGGAGGGCCCTGGGGGAATCCTGAAGGTTTCTGGAACCAAGAGTTCTCAGGGGTCTCAGGGCCCTAAAGTGGCTGAGTCCAGGGGACATCTTTTAGAGTTTCGGGGTTCAAGGGTCTCGAAGGCTCTCGAGGCCCAGAGGTGGCCGTGAACCCCCAGAGGGTCTCGGGAGCCAGGGCCCCGGGAGGGGCCGGGCGGATCCTGAGGGGGTCTCGGCGTCTGGAGGAAATGTTGAGAGGTGTGAGAGGAACCGAGGCGTGTCGGGGTCCTGAGGTGGCCCCCCGCGGCCAGGGGTCCTGAAGGGCCAGGGCGGGCCCTGAGGGTCTCGGGGTCCCCAGGGACTCTCGCCGCAGGGCTCCCGGGTCTGCCCTGCCCCTCCCCTCCCCGCCCCCTCACCTGCAGCGCCGGCTAGACGCTGGTCCGAGCTCCCGCCGCCTCCTCCTCCGCGGTCGACGGCGTCGCGGGGTCTCGGCGGCCGCGCGCCCCTCACGCTGGGCGGAGCCGGAGGGACGGTCCTCGGGGAGGGAACTGCGTGCGCACCCGGGGCGGGAGCCGGAGCCCGAGCGGACGCCGCGCCGCCTCCAGCCGCCGCTCCACGTTAGCCGGCCGCGGCGCCGCCGCAATCCTGTTCCCCGCGCGCCCACCCTCGCCGCGCGAAGGTTCCGCCCAGAAACCAACGGCCCCGGCGGCCGGCGGCCCCGCCCCGGGAGGAGGGCGGAGCTAAGGCGCGCGCCCCGCCCCCCGCCGCGCCGCCGGCCCCGCCCCCGCAGTCTCCGGCGCAGGCGCAGTCGAGAGCACGGAGGGCGGCCGGGGCTCTGCAGCTGCGCGCGAAGCTCGGCCTGCCGCGGGGTGCCGCCGGCTCCCAGTTTACTGATCTGCGGACGGGGGCGCGCGGGCGCGCGCTGCGGGACGGGGCGCGTATGCGGAGCGCCGGACCAGCTCAGGGTGTGATCCGGCGAGGCCCTGGCGGGCGGGCCGGGCGCGGCGGGACCCGCGTCCCCGCAGACAGACCTCACCCCGCGGGGGTCCTCCGCGCTTCCCAGCGCGACCCAGCCGAAACAAAAGCCACTTCCTCTTCCCAGCCTTTCCCGCCCTGCCCAAGCCGGAGCTAATTATTACTTCCCCACTCCCTTTTTTTTTTAATTTTTAATATTTTTACTTTTTTTTTAAATTGTTTTTCTCTAAACTGCTAAAGGTTAATCTGGTTCATACTACCTCTCTCCTTAGCGCCCTTTTTTCTGCCAGATTTTAGAGTTGACTGTTAACATCTCCCCCTACCCCGGCTCCCAGGGAAGCTCGCATTTTGTCGCAGAAGCTGGTCTTGTGAGTTTCAGCAGCCTGTGAAACTGGGGGGCCCGGAGCCCTGAACACTGTGGGGGCAGTGACGTGGGGGGCGGAGGAGGCAGTCGCTGGGCGCCCGTGTGGAGCCAGGCACCTGCCTGGGCGCTGGGCGTGTGTTCTTTCATTTAGTCCTGCAACACCCCTATGAGGAAGGCGTCTTAGTCTTCAGTATTATTCCAATTTCGTAGAAGGGGAAGCTGAGGCCCGGAGCGGTCCTCCAGGCAGTTCCGCGCCCCAGTCCGCAATTTTAACCCCTGCGCACAGCTCCCCAGCCCCCCGGGGTGTGCGATTTGAATGCAGTGCGTTTCAGTGCATGAGCACCTGCTGCTGCGCTGAGCGCTAGGACCCTGCGCCTGCAGGAGACACGGCCCCTGCCCTCAAGCCCCCCACCCCCCACGCCCCAGCAAGGACCTTGACAAATGGGAGCCTACAGGCTAGGTGCTGCAGAGGCCAGACCCACTTCCAAGGTGCAGGGGCCCCAGGTGGGGCCTCCTCTAAGGCCCAGGGCAGGGTTCTGGAGTAGTCACGACCTCCAGCCAAGTTCAGCCCGTTGGAGGCACAGGCCGAAGTCTCATCCCCTCCACCCAAAACTCAGCTAAGCAGCCTTGCAAAGACAAGGACAGCCGAAGGGACACCTTAGGAACAAGGGACTCTCCTCTCCTCCTGTACCCAAGAGGGACCCGGCTTCTATCAGGTTGTGGAAAATTACTGAGCAGCACTGCCCCCAGCCACCTTGCCCAGTCTGATGGGTAAGTGGATGGACCTGGCAGGTTGGCAAGTGGCTGGCGTGCTGATGGTGTGTGTATGCGTGTGACGTGTCACTGGGCGCCGCAGGGCGTTCCACGTCCTAGTCTTCACGCGGCCAGTGTGAGCACGTCTCATGCAGCGTGTGTCAAACTAATGAATGAATGTGTGTGCGTGAAACAAGGCTTGTTCCCCGGAGACCAGACCCGACTCATCTCTGTAGCAACAGTGCCCTTGGGGGCCTGCGGCAGGGCCGAGCAGTGAGGCATCAGCACATTTCGAATGCACACTCTGCTTATTGAGCACCTACTGTGTGCCAGGTGGGAGTCTCTAAACTCTTCCCAGGCACCTTTCTTCGCGCTCACTGCCACCCTATGCAGTAGGTATTATTAATCTCCTTTAAGAGACTGAAAAAGCAGGCTCTGGGGACTTAAAGTAACCAGTCCAAGTTGCTTGGAATTGGCTGTCTGGCTACAGAAGGAGCTTTGCGCTGTTAGAAAGGAGATAGCTGACAGATTCACAGGCGAGCGCCTGGTCGGACACTAGGCACTGTGTGACAGTCCTTCCAGCCGAGAGAGGAAGCTGTTGCTGTATCGCATGGGAAGACCCACATCATGTGCCCTATACACCATCCCGCACTGGGGTATAGGCCAGATACACACATACCATGTGCGCTTGGACCACACCCCACGGAGCTGACACACACCATGAGCTATAAACCCTCCCACAGCCTGTGTTGTTACGCATATGTGCTGTAACATGGCAATGGAAAAGGAACTAAGCCTTTTGGAGCCTCCGCCCGTGCCACCCATGCCCATGTCCATTTCCTACAGAAACTCCTCTGCTGCTCCCGCCTCTGTGCAGGCTGGCAGAAGGACTGTGATGCCCGCGCTGGGCAGCAGTTGGGGGTGTGGCTGGTAGGAGAAGGGAGGAAGGCTGGCACCTTAGAAAATTCTCTCTGGCCCCCGTTCTCCACCATCAGCTCTGCCCGGGCCCCAGACCTCACCAGTGCCTCAGCTCAGGCCTCCTTTCCACTGGCCTGGAAGCTGGCACCAGGCTGCTCTGAGGTCCCCACTCACCAACCTGCGTCCACTACCCCGTGCAGCCCTGGTATGGCCAGGAGGACTGGCAGGGCACTGCACAACAGCCAGATATGCACTAAGCACTCACTGTGCCAGGAGCTAAGGACACCTGCCCTCATGGCTCTGACAGGGCAGTAAACTGGGAAACTGACAACAGACCCAGGTGTCAGGGTGACAACAGACCCAGGTATCAGGGCGTGATGAGGCTATGAGGAAAGATGAAGTTGTACAAAAGACAGATGCTGCTACAAAATTAAAAGGGCAAGGCACAGAATGGAAAAAAATTTGTAAAACATATGTCTGACCAAGGACCTAATTTGCAATATGTAAAGAACTCAATAATATGGTAAATAACACCCCCCAAAAAAATAAACTGGGTAAAAGATTTGAACACATGCTTCTCCAAATATATATGGATAGCAAATAAGCACCTGAAAATATGCTCATTATTATTATTCATTAAAGAAATGCAACTCAAAACCACAGTGAGAAATGCAACTCAAAACCACACACCACTAGAATGACCAAGAGTGAAAAGATTTGACCATACCAAGAGCTGGCAAGGATGTGGAGGAACTGGGCTTCTCACCCACTACACACAGGAATGTAAAGTGGTACAACCACTGCATGCCTCTCACAATGGCTAGAATAAAAATAGTGACAACACCAAATGCCAGTTAGGATGCAGAAAACTGGATCACCCATACATTGCTAGAGGGAATGTAAAATTGTGCAGCCACTCTGGAAAATAGTTTGGCCATTTCTCTTTTTTTGTTATTTTAGCATATTATGGTGGTACAAATGTTTAGGTTACGTATATTCCCTTGCCCCTTCCCTGCCCCCCGCAGTCATTTCTCTTAAAACTAAACATTCAGCTGGGCACAGTGGCTCACACCTGTAATCCCAGCACTTTGGGAGGCCAAGGCAGGAGGATTGCTTGAGGCCAGGAGTTTGAGGTTACAGTGATCACTGCACTCCAGCCTGGGTGACAGAGCGAGACCCTGTCTCTATTAAAAAAATAAAAAGATCGCGGCGCTGCTCACGCTTTAACCTAGCATCTGGGAGCCGAGGTGGTGCGATGCTCGGCGGTCAGGTTCACCAGGCCTGGGCAAGAGCAAGACCCCATCTCTACTATAAATAGAAAAAATAGTGGGCAATAATTATATACAAAATTAGCGGGCATGGTGTCTGCCCGTTTCCAGCTACTGGGAGCTGAGCAGTAAGGTTGTTGGCCAGGAGTTGAGGTTGCTGTGGGCTAGGCTTGCACGCACTCACTTAGCCGCACGAAGCGACTTCTCAAAATAAAATACATAAATATTAAAAAGTAAATATACCTTGCTACAACCAGCAATGTGCTTCTTGGGTTTTTTCTAGAAAGAAGCTATGTTCATAAAAACTTCACGCAGAATGTCATGAGCTGTTTTATTATGCCCAAACCATAACCACCAAAGTCCTTCGACTGGTGAAATGTCAACAAAGGTTGGGTGATTTATACAGATATTACTATCATAATAATGAATGCAAGTATTTTTTTTTTTGGACAGAGTCTCGCTTTGTCCAGGTCTAGTAAGTGCGTTGTTAGCTAAAGCCACGCACCTTCAATCTGCTCAAGCAATCTCTGCTAGCTCTAGCTAGCTTGACTACGCTGCACCACATGCAGCTTTTTTTATAAATTAGTGCATTTATTCTTTCTATTATAGTTGGAAGTTATCGCTTCTTGCCTCGGCTGTCTTTGAACTCGACCTGCGAGCAATCCGCAGGCCTCAGCCTCCCAGAGTGCTAGGATTACAGGGGTGAGCCACCACGCCCGGCCAGGAATGCACTATTGATACATGAAATAGCTTGAATGGATCTCAAGGAAATTATGCTGCATGAAGGAAAAACAATCTATAAAAGTTACATGCTTTATGATTCCATTTATATAACAGGTTTTTTTTTTTTGTTTTTTTTTGAGATGGGGAACAGATCAGTGATTACTGGGGTTAGGGCTGTGTAGCAGGAGGGGGCCTTGTGGAGCTGGAACAGTTCTATATCTTGATTATGGAGGTGGTGACCCAAAGCTACATGTGTGATAAAATTGCATAGAACTGCACACACACACACACACACACATGCACGCATGCACGAACACACACACAAATGAGTGCCTGCAAAGCTGGTGAAATCTGAATAAGCTCTGTGTATTGTACCAATATGAATGTCCCCGTTCTGATATAATTATGCTGCAGTTATACAAGAGTGGAGGCTGGGCGAAGGTGCATGGGACCTCCCAGCACAGTGCTTTTTTTCAACTTCCTGTGAATCTGTAATTATTTCAGAATAAAAAGTATTATTTTAAATGGTACAAACACTTTGGAAAACAGCTTGGCAGCTTCTTTAAAAATTAATCACACAGCCACCATATGACCAGCCATTCCACCCCCAAGAAGCGAAAGCAGACGCCCACCGGGAGCCCTGAGCACGAGTGTTCATAGCAGCTTTATTTGCAGTCGCCCCAAACTGGAAACGAAACCGGTCAACGGTGGATCAGCAAGCGGTATAAACATTCGTACGATGGAATTCTTCTCGGCAAGAGAAGGGGGCAAAATGTTGGTGCCTGCGACAACATGACGAATCTCAAAATATTTATGCTGAAAGGAGCCAGACAAAAAAAGAGAACATACTGTGTGGTTCCATTTATATAAAACTGTAGAAAATGCAAACTAATCTTTAGAGACAGAATGCAGATCAGATTACCAAGGGGCATGAAGAGGAAAGTTTTGAGGAAGACGGCTATGTTCTCTCCATTGTGGCGGTGGTTTCATGGGTGTCAAAACTCATCAAGGCGCAGTGGCTCACGCCTGTAATCCTAGCACTCTGGGAGGCCCAGGCAGGTGGATCGCTCAAGGTCAGGAGTTCAAAACCAGCCTGAGCAAGAGTGAGACCCCCGTCTCTACTAAAAATAGAAAGAAACTAATTGACCAACTAAAAATATATATACAAAAAATCAGCCAGGGCCGGGCGCGGTAGCTCACGCCTGTAATCCTAGCACTCTGGGAGGTCGAGGCGGGAGGATTGCTCCAGGTCAGGAGTTCGAAACCAGCCTGAGCAAGAGTGAGACCCCGTCTCTACTAGAAATAGAAAGAAATTAATTGGCCAACTAATATATATACAAAAAATTAGCCGGGCATGGTGGCGCATGCCTGTAGTCCCAGCTACTTGGGAGGCTGAGGCAGGAGGATCGCTTGAGCCCAGGAGTTTGAGGTTGCTGTGAGCTAGGCTGACGCCACGGCACTCACTCTAGCCTGGGCAACAAAGTGAGACTCTGTCTCAGAAAAAAAAAAAAAAAAAACCTCATAAAATGTATATTTTTATTTGTTTTAGAGACAGGATCTCCCTGTGTCACTGCGCTGGAGTGCAATGTCCTGATGATAGCTCACTGTCACCTTGAATTCCTGGGCTCAAACCATCCTCCAGCCTCAGCTCCCAAGGAGCTGGGACTACAGATGCACCACCACACCTGGCTGGTTTTATTTTTATTTGCAGAGACAAGATCTCAATATGTGGCCCAGGCTAGCCTTCAACTCCTGGCCTCCAGTGATCCTTCTGCCTTGGCCTCCCAAAATGTTGGGATCATAGGCCGGACGCAGTGGCTCACGCCTGTAATCCTAGCTCTCTGAAAGGCCGAGGCGGGCGGATTGCTCGAGGTCAGGAGTTCGAAACCAGCCTGAGCAAGAGTGAGACCCCGTCTCTACTATAAATAGAAAGAAATTAATTGGCCAACTAATATATATAGAAAAAATTAGCCGGGCATGGTGGTGCATGCCTGTAGTCCCAGCTACTCGGGAGGCTGAGGCAGAAGGATTGCTTGAGCCAGGAGATTGAGGTTGCTGTGAGCTAGGCTGACGCCACGGCACTCACTCTAGCCTGGGCAACAAAAAAAAAAAAAAAAAGTTGGGATCAAAATGTATGTTTTAAATAGGTGCATCTTACTGTGCATCAGTTATACCTCAATGAAGAGGAAAAACCAAGCTGGGTGAGGTGAGAGTGTGGGGAGGAGCAGGAGGTATCTCGTATGGGGAGGGGACCCTGTCCAGGGTTCTGCTCTGACAGCTCCTCTGTGACTGCTGTTCTTGCAGCCAGACGGGCGGCTCCCAGGTCTGCTAAGCCCGGGGCTCAGGGCTCTGTTGGATTGCATTGAATGACATGCCTTTGATTGCTCTAATCTCAGAAGAAGTCACCCCCCTATTTGGGAGCAGCCTTCCCCATCTGACCCTCCTTGCAAAGAAGAGGCCAGGGGAGCCCAGACCTCCTTGGTGCAGGTCTTGCAGCAAGCCGAGGGTGAGCAGGGACTCAGTGAACCGTGAGTGCGGCAGGGTGCAAGGTGACACGGCATCCGGTCGAGGTGGGACTCTCAGCTGTGAAGGCCCTGCCCTGCCAGCCATGGCAGCGGAATCCTTCAGGCTCGGAGAAGTGAGCTAATAAAATTGCATCTGCGGGTGTTTATAATTAGCAGTTTCTGCGAAGCCTGAGAAGTCCGGCCCAGAAGCCAGAAGCCAAGCGCGGCGACTCCCGCTCGCCCCCACCAGCCTGGGCTCTGCGCAGGAGAGCAGACTGGGAGAGCTGGTTGGACGCTGGCAAAGGCTCCTTCTACCCCTGCGAATCCAACCCCCCCCCCTCTCTCCGCTGGAACTGCCCGGGAGGGGCCTCGTTCTGCAGGGACCCGCCCGAGGAGGGGGTGCTGTCCAGTCTGCAGCAGTGCGGGTGCGGCGGCTGGCGGCCGGTGCCGTAGCGCTGCCGCTGCCTCCGTGACGGGCAGGTTCTGGTGCCGAGGAAAGGAACAGATGCCAGGGCTGGGCCCACAGAGGGGCTTCCCAGTGAGTTTGCCCCTTGCCTCCGTGGCTGTCCCTCCGTCCCTGCCCCGATGCTAACGTCCTTCGCCTTCTCTGTCCCCCCAGGCCTTGCCCTTTCACGACCTCAGCCAGACCCAGGGCTGTGACCTCACCAGCAAGGCAAGGCTAACGGATTCAGCTGGTTTTTTTAAAAAACGAAAACCAAAAACAGTGTCCTTATTAGACGCAAACAGCAAAAGAAAGAGCAAAGATGCCAGCTCCCCACATCCTTGTCCCATAGGAGGACGCTGAAATAAAAGGGGCCAGACCAAGGGCATGAGCAGCGGGGACGCCCCGAGGCTGAGCTCTGCCTGTAGCTGTGCCCCAAGGGGAGGTGGAGGCAAGCATCTCAGACCTCACCAGAGCCCGGGGCCAAGAGAAACTGTCTCATGGCAGCCTCCCTCCCGGGAGGATGGGAGGCTGGGGACAGGGCCTTGTGGCACCAACTCACAAACCTGTGTTCTGGGAGGATCACGGGTTTTCTGCCAAGACTCGGATCAGCTTCGGGGAACCCAGCCTACGTGGCTCTGCGGAGCAACAACGCACCTGCCCCTGCGATAACTCCAACGCTGCTGTCTGCAGCCTCTGCCTCCCCCTGAGCTCCAGACCCGGACCCCCCACTGTCCCCTTCTCAGCTCTACCCAATGCATCACGTGCAGCTTACATTTAACTCACCCCACATTCTCGATTTCCTCCAACTCAAACTCTCGGCCCCCATTTTGGCTGAGGGCACCGCCACACACAGTGCTCTGGCCCCAAACCCAGAAGTCAGGCCGATTCCCTTCTCCCTCCTTCCCGACGGCCAATCCCTCCGCAAGTTCTTCGGTGTCCTGCCCTGCAGCTCCGCCCAGCGTGGTGTTTACGTTGTCCTGGGTCATGTTTGACCCACTTACTCCTTGTCCTCCGGCTGGACTGGGAGCTCACTGAGGGTCCAGGAGGGCCCAGCTCTTCCCCGTAGTCCAGCTTCAGAGTCCTCAGGGAAAGTTACGGAGGAACCCAGGCATGCATGGCCTTGGGAACAAACCCTGTCCACCCGCCCGTTTTTACAGATGCGGAGATCAAGGCTTAGGGGGGCAGGGCTCAAGCCACTCACATGTTTGGACGCAGCCCTCACCACTGTGGCCTTGACTTAAAATTAGTCCCCTGCCCTCACCCTCTAGAAAAATAACCCAGGCCCTCAATATGGTATCAGCTCATTCATCCATTCACGTTCTCAGTCATTCATTCTGCAAACTGCTATCAAACTCGAACAAATCTTGGGAAGATTTTATTAGGAGTTTTCCTGCAGCTGGCAGCACACCCGGGTCCACCGTCCATAGGGGCGTGAACAGGCCAGCGGGGAAGAGGCTGCGGCCGGGGCTGGTGCTCAGCTCAGTCCTGGAACTTGCTGGAATACACCTCGGCCCTGTCCAGCGCCGGACCCCGGTTCACCGACGTGTAGGAGGGCTCCGAGGTCCCCAGCGACTTGGGGACAGCCTCCTGAGTGATCTGGGAGTCGTGCGTCGTTTCCCCGTCGGAACTCCCCGTGTCCCTGGCCAACGGGATGGAGAGAGGCAGGGTTAGGCGGCAGAGCAAACCCAAACCCCGGAGCTGGCTGTGGCCTTGATGCTCAGTCACCGCTTTCCCAGACGCTGTGTCAGGCGTTCATTCAGCCTACCAATCTTTCTGGGCACTTACCCTGGGCCAGGCCCTGGGAATAAGGAAAATGCCATCCTCTTGAAACTATGTGAACAGTTTATAACAAATTCGAGGCCATTGTCCCATGTCCCCAAAGAGCCAAGATTGTACGGGGAGACAAACCACAGCAGACAATGACCACACAGAATGGACAGGCACTGGCGGGAGCTACAGGAAGGCTTCCTGGAAGAGGAGGCAGCTACTCTGGTCCTAAAGGAGAAGGGTCGGTCGGGGGCAGGGAGAGGCACCGGGTGAGACAGGCAGGGCTGAGGAGTGTCTGGGGCAACAGTGGGAAGGTCGGTGCCGCTGCAGCCAGACCAGGGTGGGGATGTTAGGAGGGATAAAGGGAAGAGCGGGCTGAATTCAGAGTGCAGGGCCTTGGACGCCAGATCAGGGCAGCTGCCCAAGGGAAAGGAAGGACATAACCGTGTCCTGACTGCTCCCAGGTCCAACCAGGCAGAGTCTTTTGGTAGCTAATGTCGTCCACTATTTGTGTTTTATTGACTTAATGTCCAGAAGTCAAGGCGGCGGAGGCGGTGGCTTCACGCCCCCCCCTAAATCCTAGGCGACTCTGGGAGGCCAAGGTGGCAGTTGCTCGAGTCAGGAGTTTAAACCAGCCTGAGCAAGAGTGACGCCCCGTCTCTACTATAAATAGAAGAATTAATTGGCCAGCTAACATATATAAGAAAAATTAGCCGGCATGTGGTGCATGCTGTAGTCTCAGCTACTGGGGGCTGAGGCAGCAGGATTAGCTTGAGGCCAGGAGTTTGAGGTTGCTGTGAGCTAGGCTGATGGCGACGGCACTCTAGCCCGAGCAACAGAGTGAGACTCTGTCTCAAAAAAAAAAAAGAACTAAGATCAGAGTTGGTGGCTGCAAGCTAGGCCCCATGCTGAGGTGCTCCCCCAGCTGCACAACTTGACCTTGAAGGCCCAGCAGCGTTGATATCCGGGACTCTGCTCTCCTCCCACTAGACCCCGCCCCAGCGTGGAATGTGACTCCTTGGGCTTGCTGGGGCTTGTCCCTGGGTCCGGCCCTCGCCTCTCGTGGCTGGCGGGTACTCACAGGAGGCTGAGGACGATGGCGCCAGCAAAGCCCAGGAGCAGGAAGAAGGGCAGGGAGCCCAGGATGGAGGTGATGACGATCATGCCTCCGCTCCGCCGGCCTGGCCACGTGTCGATCCCTGAGTGCGGGGTGACTGCAGCGGACGAAACCCATTACTCCCCAGGGTCCCCAGCCACCCACAACCTCCCCCAGGGAGGCGGCTGGCTGTGTCCCCCTGCCCAGGCTGCCAGGAATCCAGGAATGAGCCTGGGACCCGGTTCGGTTGACTCTCTCCTCCCAAGTTTTAGGCACAATTACCTTGTTTGTCCCTATCCCGATTCCCAACTTTCTTGTGTGTGTTTCTGGCCTCTTCCTCTTTTAACTACCTTTTTGCACATTTTTAAATTATAAACCGACTCAAGTCTTCTGGTGAGATGGATGGGAAACAGAGTGTAAACAATTAACAACAAGACAAGGCACAGGGCCCTGATCTTATGGGGCCAGGGGCACCGTGGCTCTCGCTCTGCTGGGGCTGGCTGGAGCTACACGAACAATTTATGGGCCCTGCTACAGCCACCTGTGTGGCTGCTGTCCCGTGCAGGTCCTCCAGGTCCCCATCCTGCAGATCACTGACTGCACTGAGGGACACTGAGCCCATCTAGGGACATGCAGAATCCGGACTCAAGGCCTGCCTGGTCCCAGGTGCACGCTGTCCCGAGACTGGCCCTCCGGTCCTCCTGCAAGAGAGCTGGGCCCGGTGCTTCTGCCTGGGTTCCCCAAAGGAAGCCTGCCTTCGGGGGAGGCCCAGCGAGAGCTCTTCCCCCGGCTTCTCAGGTGGGGAAACTAAGGACGCCAGGGCTCACACGGGAGTGAGGACCCTCCGTCCCCAGGGTCCCAAGGCTGTTTTGGCGGCACCACGATTCCTGGGAATGCCACGGGAGGGGTGGGCAGGGAGCGAGGAGGGGAGGAGTCCTCCCGCCATCCACTGTCACACTCACGCTGACGCACTCCCCCCCCCACACTCATTCTCACACGCACTCACACTCACACGCTGCTCTACCCCGCCCCCAGCGTGCCACCCCAGGCACCCTTTCGGAACCCGCAGGTAAAATGCTCAGGTCCTTGCCGGCCCACCCTACCAGGCAGTCTAGGGGACCGAGCCGTGGTGGGAGGGGAGTCCTAAGTTAGGGTCTTACACAGTCAAAATTCTAGGCTAGGCGCGGGGGCTCACGCCTGTAATCCTAGCTCTCTGGGAGGCCAAGGCAGGTGGATCATTCGAGCTCAGGAGTTCCAAACCAACCTGAGCAAGAGCGAGAACCCGTCTCTACTATAAAGATAAAGAAATTAATTGGCCAACTAATATATATAGAAAAATAATTATCCTGGCATGGTGGCGCATGCCTGTAGTCCCAGCTACTCGGGAGGCTGAGGCAGGAGGATTGCTTGAGCCCCGGAGTTTTTTTTTGTTTTGTTTTTGAGACAGAGTCTCCCTTTGTTGCCCAGGCTACAGTGAGTGCCATGGTGTCAGCCTACCTCACAGCAACCTCAGTGCCCAGGAGTTTGAGGTTGCTTTGAGCTAGGCTGATGCCACGGCACTCACTCTAGCCTGGGCAACAAAGGGAGACTCTGTCTCAAAAAAATAAAAATTAAAAAAAAAATTCTAGGTCCCTCACGTGGCCCCTGACACTCAGTAGACACAATTCTGTGTGCTTAAACCTCGGATCCCTGCTGAGAACCTCAGATGGTGTCTAGGAAGGACAGGGCAGGTCCCCGGGCCGCTCTGGTGCCCTCCCAGCCCTCCTGCCATCAAGAAAGCCACCCAGGTGCTGCGGAGAAGGGGCGGGGGCGGGGGCGGGGGCGGGGAGGGTGTGCGGCTCTCTTGCCGCCTCCTCTGTTTCAGTCCGAGGCCTCTGGAACCACCTCACATGGTCATAGAGGTTCAAGCTGTGTGCCCCTTGAGGCCAACACACCCGAGGGCTGGAAAGGCAGCTCGCTGGCTTTGACTTCAGTTACACACACCCCGCCCCCGCCCAAACCCCACCAAATCCTCCACTGGGATCTGTTTCAACACCTGGCCCTCAAGGACTGAAGCGAGGCAGGTTCCAGGTTAAACTACTCTAAGGTGCCTTCTACTCATGGCCCCAGGGGACTGCCCCAGCCTGGGGTGCTCCCGGCCCCACCTGGCCCTTGAGGGTTCCCCCAACCCCCCACCACTTACGCCACTTGGTGCGGATGGGGTCCGACCACAGGGTCTGGTCCTGTACCAAGCCCGTGGACATGTTGACGAGGACGTACTTGAACCTGGAAGGAGACGAACGAGGGAGATTCCATCCTTCCTGCGAGCCCCAGCCACAGGGCGCTGGGAGGTGTAGCACGGCCCAGTGGGGGACCTTCCAGGAGATGGGAAGGTAGACAGCCACTGGGTGGGCTCTGGGCAACAGGACGGTGCAGCGTCGTGGCCACACGTGACCCCCTGGGCCCTTCCCAGCTTAGATGCCACCTCCTCCGTGAAGCCTCCAGAGGTAGCACCCCTGTTCTAGGTGCTCCCTGTAGGAGCCCCCTCTGTTTCATGCAGCGTATGTGCTGACTATTAATGCATTTGTCCTCCTAGCATTTCTGCCTTCCACTGCTCCAAGCCTGGTTCTTGGCATCTCGAAGGTTACTTAAAAAAAAAAAACAAACCCTAGGCTGGGTGCAGTGGCTCACGCCTGTAATCCTAGCATTCTGGGAGGCCGAGGTGGGAGGATTGCTCAAGGTCAGGAGTTCAAAACCAGCCTGAGCAAGAGCGAGACCCCGTCTCTACTAAAAATAGAAAGAAATTAATTGGGCAACTAAAATATACAGAAAAAATTAGCTGGGCATGGTGGCGCATGCCTGTAGTCCCAGCTACTTGGGAGGCTGAGGCAGAAGGATCGCTTGAGCCCAGGAGTTTGAGGTTGCTGTGAGCTAGGCTGACGCCATGGCACTCTAGCCTGGGCGACAGAGTGAGACTCTGACTCAAAAAAAAAAAAACAAACCTGGAATGATATTTAGCACCAACCTTTTGGCGCTTGGACAAGAGCTATGTTTTAAGTGCAGAAACCCCCAAGCAAGTGTTTCTAATCACCAAAGAAGATCGGGCAGTACAGGACATCCACAGCCTCATACACTGTCAGTTTAAAGTGATGCATGTTCTCTTTTTTTTTGAGACAGTCTCACTTTGTTGCCCAGGCTAGAGTGAGTGCCATGGCATCAGCCTAGCTCACAGCAACCTCAATCTCCTGGGCTCAAGCAATCCTACTGCCTCACCCTCCTGAGTAGCTGGGACTACAGGCATGCGCCACCATGCCCGGCTAATTTGTTCTGTATATCTTAGTTGCCCCATTAATTTCTTTCTATTTTTAGTAGAGATGGGGTCTCGCTCTTGCTCAGGCTGGTTTCGAACTCCAGACCTCGAGCAATCCTCCCGCCTCGGCCTCCCAGAGTGCTAGGATCACAGGGGTGAGCCACCACGCCTGGCCTAAAGTGATGGATGTTGTGAGGACTAAGAAGTTTACAACCTGCAGCTTAACACTTTAAAAAAATCGAAACCCTTAAAATCTCTTTTTAAAGAGTGTTTTGCTTAATCCTGTACTTCTCTCTATTTCAAGATGAGAATTCCAGAGGTGGGGGGCGGGGCTGTCCTCAAGGCAGGGTGGGCTCGTGGATGAGGTCAGAGGGCCTTTTGGGTGGAGGAGGAGGGAGAGCTTTCCCCATGAGGTCAGAGGACAGGGGTTGGGGAGGGAGCAGGGACCTTGTCCTGCCTAGTGGCTGAGACCCGGGTGAAGGGTGAGCCTTCTGAGAGGATGGTAGGCGGGCGATGGTCAGGGCCCCAAAAGGGTCTGGGAAGCTGCAGAGACGCCATCCTAGGCATCTCCATGGTAACCGGAGCAAGTGTATCTCGAGGCTTTGGCACCAGGCACTCTGAGCCCCGGGCTTGTACAGAGAAGACTGCTCCGGAAAAAATGTGTGGAGATGAATCAGGGCCGTGCTGGGGTGGGGTGGGCAGCAGAAGGGCTGGAAGGAGGAAGGACAGAGCCGAGGATGAGGTTGTGGGTGGGAGGGCCTTCGACCGGCTCTAGTTCTTGCTGGGCCACAGCTTTCTCTAGGTGGCCTTCCCTCTCTGGACCAGTTTCCCTCCCTGTAAATCGGAAGGCTCTGGGCGTCCTCTGAGGGGCCCATGCAAACTGAAAACAGCTGCTCCCGCTTCGCCCCACTGCCTCTTCCCCACTCGCTCCTGCGGCCGCTCACACCCACCTGTACTCCGTGGCCCCCGACAGGGGCGGGTTGCAGAGGCCCTGGAAGTTAGGGTCCCACAGGCAGGTGGAGTTGGCACCCACCCTGACCAGGTATGCGTTCAGGATCTGCAAGGCCTGGGACACATCCCCAACGGCATCCAGGCTGGGCAGGTCACTGCAGGGACTGAGGTCAAAGGCCGCAGCTCTGTAGGGGCCTGTCCTCCCGCCCTCCGTTTGCTGGAACGTGGAGCTCAGTGGGGTCTTGCTGCCGTCCTGCACAGAGGCATTCCTGGAGCCGGCTGCAGAGGCAGTGCCAGGAGTGAGGTTTCTGGCTACTCCAGTGTCACTCACTCAGTTGTTCATCAAACACCCCTGAGGGTCCTCTCTGCCCCAGCCCTGTGCTGGGCACCGGGCAAGCTGAGTGTCTCAGTCTCTGCTCTCCCAGCATAATGGGGGACAGGGACAAGGATCACCTCCCTTGCTTTGCATGCTATGTCTGGCTCTCCCACTGCCACATTCCTATAACCCCCTACTCCAATGGACCTATGTCGCCTCATTGCTGAAAGCCCTGGATTCTCTCTTCTGCAAAATGGGAAAGGAGGGTCATATGGGGCAGGGGGAACAACGTGGAGGAGCATAGACCTATGTCGGGTCCCAGGTCTCTGCTCACTAGATGGGTGATCTTGGACAACTCACTACCTCTCTGGACTCAACTTCTCTTCTGTGAAGTGGGAAAGGACTACCCCGCAGTGCCCGCAGATTGGGCACAGGTAGGTGGTCACTAAACGTTTGCTGAAACAATAATGACCCCGAATGAGCTGCTGTAAACAACTGGTTGCTAGAAAAGTAAAAGTCATCACTCCTCTCGGAAGCCAGTATCCCCACCAGTGGAGGGGTCAAGGGCTGGGCCGCCGGAGCAGGTCCGAGCAGGTCCGAATGCTTGCCTTTGTCTCACAGACACCGAGCTTGAACCACCCTGGGAAGCCCCAGGGAGGACTTGGGCATGTGGACCGGAGAGTGAGGGTTCACGCTCCAGCTCTGGGAGCTCCAGCGAGTATCCACCTCTCTGAGCTTTGGTTCCCTGCCCTGTAATGGGGTTTGGTCATAGCTATTGTGCAGGCGGGGTGCACATATTAGCTCTAAGGTGTGCACAGCACCTGATCTGATGTAGGGGCGCTGTGATTGGTGCTGTTACTATTTCCCCACTAGACTGGATGCCCTTGTAGGGCAAAGACAGGGCTATGACCACAGCACCCAGCCCAGGGCTGGCCCCGAGTGGACACCAGAGCATGTTGGTAAAGAGAATGGGGTAGTCGTTTAATCAAACGACTACAAGGACGGAGCGTCCCTCTACCTGCCTCCTCCCTGTGGACAGGTCAAAGCCGCTTTTGGAGCAGCCAGGGGGAAGCAGGACCCTTACCCGGCGCGGGCGGGGGCGGGCGAGGAGGCGCCGGCCGGCAGGTGCAGGCGGGAGAGGCAGCTGCCCG